AGGCAGGAGACTTGCTTGAGCCCAGGAGTTGGAGGTTGCTGTGAGCTATGCCATGGCACTCTACCCAGGGGGACAGCTTGAGGCTCTACCTCAAAAAAAAAATAAAATAAAATAAATAAATCTATCATTAATATCTATACCTTTGAATAAGGTCATCTGTATAGTTCTACATAGGTACTTTATTATGATTAAATATAGGAAGCGGTGCCTGTGGCTCATGTATATAGGGTGCTGGCCCCCTATACCAAGGGTGGCAGGTTCAAACCTGGCGCCAGGCAAACTGCAACAAAAAATAGCCAGGTGTTATGGCGGGCACCTGTAGTCCCAGCTACTCAGGAGGCTGAGGCAATAGAAATCGCCTAAGTCCAAGAGATGGAGGGTGCTGTGAGCTGACGCGATGGCGGCACTCTACCAAGGGTGACATAGTTAGACTCTATCTCTAAAAAAAAAAAAAAAATTAAAAGAAATATAGGAAGCCAGGCACAGTGGCTCATGGCTGTAATCTTAGCACTCTGGGAGGCCAAGATGGGTGGATTGCTTGAGCTCAGAAGTTTGAGACCAGCCTGATCAAGAGTCAAACCCTGTCTGTAAAAACAGCTTGGCACTGTGGCAGGTGCCTGTAGTCCCAACTATTTGGGAAGCTGAGGCAAGAGAATCACTTGAACCCAAGAGTTTGAATTTGCTGTGAGCTATGATGGCAGGGTACTCTACCAAGGGCAACAAAGTGAGACTCTTGTCTCAAAAAAAGAAAAAAGGCAGAGGCCATAGCTCAGCAGGTAGGACACTAGCCACATACACTCAGGCTGGTGGATCTGAATCTAGTCTAGGCTGGCTAAAATGACAATTGCAAAAAAAAAATAGCCGGGTGCTGTGGCAGGCACCCATAGTCCCACCTACTTGGGAGGCTGAGGCAAGAGAATTGCTTAAGCCCAAGAGTTTGAGGTTGCTTTGCTATGAGCTGTGACACCACAGCACTCTACTGAGGATGACATAGTGAGACTCTGTCTCAAAAAAATAAAAGCCTAGTGGATAACTGAAACCACAGGACATAAAAGACTGTACTTTTCCCCATACATACATACATGCCTATGATAAAGTTTAATTTACAGGATACAGAATGAGAGTAACAACATAACTAAGAATAGAATAATTATAACAATATACCATAATAAAAATTAGGTCAAGTATAGTCTCTCTCAATATCTTATTATACTGTACTCACCCATTTTCAGACTATAGTTGACTAAGGGTAATTGAACCTATGGAAGGCAAAACTGCAAATAAGGGGGACTATAGTATTATAATTTTTTAAAATGCTTACCTGTATTATTAGAACTAGACTGACTGCCCTGGGAATTATCATTACTTTCTGGAGGAGGCTGCAAGGAGGGTGATGGAGCTGTTTTAGTTCTTTTTTTGCTTGTCTTTTTTTCCATTTGACAGTCATCATCTTCATCATCTTCACTTTCACTGAGATCATCAAAGCCAAAATATTTAATTTTGTAATTAGAACTTCCAGAACCTCCTTCATCACCTCCTGTCTCATCATGATCTTCAAAACCAAAAAATTCAAGTTTAACATCCTTTTTGGATTTAGCATTACTAGGTCGAAATCTAGTAGTGGTCTTAGAAGTTGCAATATCTGCCTTTTTTCTGAGACGACCAGCTTCTCCCAAATCTGCCGGAGTGGCTGCAGTGAACTCATCCATGCTTCGTTCCATAGTATCCTGTATAGTAACATTACAAACTGACAAGCAAGATGGATGTAAAACAGTGTAATCTCTAGTCCGTCCAACCGTCCCTCTAAAACTGGTCCCACAACTTACACCGCCTTTTTTTGCCTGATTCAGGCCATCTTTACTTGATTCACTGTTTGCTTTGGCTAAGGCCTGACTGGTGCCATCCACTAGCTTATCAAAATTTGATGCTCCTTGTGAGGATTTTGCTTTATTCGCCCTACAGTACGTCCTACAGTTGCTTGGCCTAAGAACACTTTGCACAATGTCTTCCTCAATGGCTTCATTTAGATTTTCCAATCGACTTTTTAAATCTTCATCCTTCATCTCCAAAAGGGGTTCACTATCCAAACTTAAAATACAATCTTCTGATTTGATATCTTCAAAATCATTATCCCATTCATACAAACCAGTTCTCACAGATCCTTTGACTGGTGATATTTCTGATGGTGATTCAAACCTTTTCCCAAACTGGGAGTTCCAAATATCATTTGTTTCCTTGATTTCATCAGTTTTATATCCAGAAGCCACTGTTGTTTCTGCAATGGGTTTCTTAGTACTGTCTTCAGCATTTCTGTGACTATAGTGACTATTCTTTTCATACTCTTCATGAAAATTCTCCACCTTAACTACAAAAATAAGTGAAAAGATAAAAACATGAGTGGTATCAATATAAATGTAAATAACAGGAATATTTAGCTAATTAACAATATAGAATCAATCTTAAAATAATTACAATATATTAATGTTTACACAAGACCATTTCCCCTCTTACCCTTTCAGAATATAACTGTCTTCCAGTGACCAGATATCTAAGTCCAGTGACCAGATATCTGTCTTCCAGATATCTAAGTCCCTTGTAATTGTCACCCAAAAGCCCTCAGAAAAATTCAGTCAATTCAGAATGACATGTAGATAACTTAGCCCAACCATTTTAGGAGTATTATGTATAATTTTTTTTTTTTTTGAGATAGAGTCTCAAGCTATCCCCTTGGGTAAAGTACCATGGCATCACAGCTCACAGCAACCTCCAACTCCTGGGCT